CGATCTGCACTTGTTTGGCCCAGTTTGCCACTCGGATTCTAATTCCAATTTCGATTCTGAAACGAAAGTAATGCGGCTGGGTCAACGGTGCGTATGCGCAATGCGGCTAAACTGACTGGCCGTCAGCCAATTGGTGGTGGCGATGGTGATGGTGATGGTGGTGGAGCTGCCACTGTGGGGTTAAGTGGGCCACCGGGGGTTAAGGGGGGAGTACTTGGAGGGAGTATCTGACGACGCATACTTGCCGCATTAATCTCAGGCAAGTGATCAGCGGCATGCAACTCGCGACGACAGAAGACTTTGCCTCAACTTAATTTAATTTTTTCGGCTTGTAGCTATTTTTCTTCTTTTTGTTTTTTTTTTTTTTTGCATCACGTAAAGTGGAACAACTAAATGAGGTGACGGAAGGGAGAAGGGGTCCAAGACAATTGGCCAACTATTTGGCGGCTTTAATTGGCTTGCACAATGCCACTGAAAAAGTCACATGACACCAAAAAATGATGCTTCACAATTTTGTATTCCAAAAAAGATTAATAGCTATGCATTAATAAGAAAATCAGTTTCTTACCGAAAATATTCGAAATTGCTGAAGAAAGTAGTTCTTCAAAATATAAACACTTCCCATATAAAAGACTAGCGAAAAGTAGTTACTTTGCTATGAAAAGTTGTAAAGTTTAAAATATAATTTTTACATTTTTAAAGAAAATGTCAACTTTAGTAAAAAATATATAAATACATTACTTAAATAATTATGAAGGTTGATATATTTACATATCAATGAAATACCCTTCCAAAGCTTCACTGTATCCAGGCGACATTCGTAAATCTCATGGCAGCCACAAGTTGCGCCTGGCTTAATGGTGTCAACACTGAAAACCAATTGGCAAATGTAGATCTCGTGGCGCCCAGCCCCGCCCCCCGGCCGCCCCTCTCGCCAGCGACAATTGTCCAAGAAGAGTGGACAAAAAAAAAAGCAAGAGCCCGGCTAAAAATTTATGGCTTTCAATTGGCATTGACAGCGATAATTGGCCGCGTGTGCCGAACTAAGCCAAGTCAACACGGAGCCAGAAAAGAGGGTTAGCAGATGCAAAAATGAAAATAAAAACGGGGTCCAGAGTGCCGACATATTGACAGCACGCGGGCAGAAGCAACAGCGGCAGCTAAATAATGTCCAATATATATTCGGCCATTAATCATCTTGGCCATGGCCTACAAAAGTAATGTATTTAAAACAGCCACAAAAAGCGCCGGCCACTTTCCTTGCAGCGCCAAAGAATCACTGGCGAAATTTATGGCTGCAGATAATTAAATCTGGATTTTTAATCTAAATGGGAATGGCTAAGAAAATTATAATCAGAGATGTGTAAATACAGAGAAGAAAACACAACAATCTCAAGTCTTTTAATACAAGCAAGTTATTTAATTGACAAGAAAAATACTATTGCATTTTAAAACATTTATAGAATTAAGAAGATTGCAATCAGGTAAAATTGTTAATTATAAAATATATGTTTTTTATTTCCCTATTGTGCAACCAATTTATTTACAACGTTCAAATAAAATATCTTCTTGATATTTATTTAATTAAAAAGTTTGTTTGCTATGTTAAGTAATTATAATTATACGCATTTTACCCGCAGTTTTTGAAAAATATTCACAGGAAACCGCACAACAAACTAACTTTTCAAGCAGAACCCACAAATGGAGGCAAAGTTTCGAGTGCACTTGGAAAAATATAAAAAAAATGGAATTCAAAATCGTATTTTTAAGCTATTTTGCAACTTAACACGTAACCCGCGAAATATGCAATCAATCTTAAGTGTGTTTTTCAATCACTTTTTCATATCTCCTCATGTAAATTAACTTTTTCGGTTCTTTTTTTCGTTTGTTTTCCGTTTTCGATGGCGTTGTTTATTTTTTTTTTCCCCAGTGAGTACAACAGTACGTATGAGCATTGTCTGCGTTGTTTGTTATAATTTCAGATAAGTTGAGATTGCCGATTGTCGGTTACATTGTTTTCTTGTTGCGGTTGTTATTATGCAAATTTTGGCTAACAACCGCTTACAAAAAAAAAAGCGACCATAGTTTGGGGGGGTTTGAATTTTAATTAACGTTGCGCATACGCCGCGTGGTACACCCTGCAACTGCCATCCGAGGTGTGTTCGATGCCGTTGGGCAAAAAGTATGCCAAGTAAATACTGTTTTCAAAATGAAATAATGAGCACACTTTTTTTGGCGGTTTTCAGTTTGTTACTTGGTCTTTTTTTTAAGCTGTCTTTTTTTTTGTGTGCTTAGATGCAGGCAAAGTCTAAACACTTTCACTAAAAATCCACCAAAGGCTACACGAATTTCGTGTCGTACATGACAAACTCTCAACTCGATTTGGTGGGGGTGCAGAGGGGTCTGAGAAGGGGTGGAGGGGGCGAAGGAGTGGGTGGGAGGACAGTTAAGTGGCTCAAACGGCCAATGGCACATCCTCCACTTTTGGAACAAGTACAGTGAAGATTGCTGCAAGCTTAAATTAATTTACTAATTTTTATTAACGTTTTTTAAAAGGACAACTAAGTGAGTTCGGGAATTGCTTATTGGCATTAACATTTATTGTGTCTAGACGAACTCTTCACTTCTCTTTTCCCGGAATTTTTACAAGGAGTCATTATTAAAACTTTAAAAATGAATAAAATATTTTAAAATTTCTGGTACTAAATCGAAGTTAGAATAGGAGTAGAACTAAAAAAATAAATTTAAATGGGTAGTCTATAATCCTTAAGCACCGTAAAACAAATCCTCCTTAATGTTAATAAGCTCTACAAATGTAGGAAATTTGTTTCTTTCTTAAGAACAGAGAATATAAAAGAATAGCCATAAATTACGGAAACTTCTCTGATCATAATTAAGCATAACTAATGGATCTCTTAAGCTATGTCATAAGAAATAACCCCGATGGCATACATCACTTATTGCCCAATATGTTCCGTCTCCAAGTACTTAACCCCACTAAATGACGACAAACTTGACACCCACAATACCACATAATTCCGCCGCACACCAGCGATATCCACTGTAAAATATCGGCAACAATAACCGAAGAAATGACTATGAAAAAAAAGAGACTCTCTGGCGACATTGATTAACGAGTGCTTAGTTAAAGCGGCACTCAAACACGCGCTGCTAATGCCGCAGATGCCAGCAATAATAGTTGCAGATACACCAGCAACATCGGCACGGCAGCAACATCACCACAGCAGCAACAGCAACAGCAGCAGCATCAACAAACAAAAGTCAACAACAATCGCGTACAATAACGGGGAAATAAGCGACAACAAAAGTGCAATAATAATTCCCTCCGTTTTATTCGTCTTCATATTTTTATGATGAATAATTGAATGGAATCTAGGAATAAGTTTGAAGGAGGGCGCACTATTTATTGCCTTTGCCATGCATCTGTGCAAATACTTTGAAATATGTTTATTAATTGCCAAGTGAACACCCTTCAACCCGCCGTTAATTTCAAGTTAGTCTGTTGCTCTGGAGGTACGTATAAACTCGTATTTATATATATTCGAGGGGTATACGCGACTGGGCATTGACCTGCACTGCCCCAAAGTGTGACTATACAGCTGTGTCCGAAATATTGGTAGAGGACCTAAATTAAATTAATTTTAAATGCTTTTATTATATAAAATTATAAATATTTCCATACTTTTATTTTGATTTAAATTTACGTAGTTGAAGTTCAATCACTCTTAGTATATTTACTTATATCAAAATTGTTTTAATAGCAATCCTAATCCGTTCATTGGAAATTAGCAAAACCATATTTGTTTTATTTTAGAAAATATTAAATTCCATATTAAAAAACTTAAACTTGACTCAATAATTTGTAGCTTGTGGCATTTGTGGCCACTAAATTTAAGTTCGCTATTATTGGTGTTGGACTTCTGCTGAAATTACCTTTAAATATTATTGCTTATTTTATGGCTGCTGCACATGTTGCTTTTGTTCTGTTATTTTTGCCAGGATTTGTTTATATTATCTCTGGGAACTTTATTTGGCGGTGAATTAATGCAAGTGTTCTTTAGTTGTTAAATACTTAAATGATTTAAAGTATTCATGCTGAAGATTGTAGTTGGGAACTCTATTTATTTATAAGTTTTAGTGGCTTGACATAATCTCATACTTAATTCCCCCTTTCTTTAACTAATCACAATTTTCTATTATTGAGCAATGACATATTTTCTCCCGCAACTAATCTGTTTATTTACATTCCAAAACTGCTTTGTTTCGAACTTTGATCTTGTCACATTACTTAATTAAATCAAATGAATCGGTTATTTATTTTCGGGTCCGATTGTTCTATCAGCTTTGCCCTTTTTCACTTCGTTTTAATCGCATAAAAATAGAAATAGATGCGTTTATTTTTGGCAGTCGCTTTTTTGTTTTGTTCTTGTCAAGAACAACTACTTACTAGTGATTCACGCTGCCCAACAACAAATTACGCACAGACATAGCTAACACATTTGGAGGAACATAGGGGGTATATATGATTCATCTGGCCAACAGCTGGTATAAAATTGTAAAATTGTTTTAAATACAAATCGACGGGGGGAAAGTCACTTCTTACCTCTAGAATATCTATCGCGTATTTTCTAACTAAATTAGTTCTGGCATTTGTATATTTTTTTTAAACTATTTATAATTGCTCAGTAGGTTTTTAATCGATTAAGATTAAATATAAATAATTTAGATATTCAATAGTGACTTTAAAAATTGTTAGAAGGAAAAGTATGGAAAAGAACTAGGTGTTTTAAAACCAATTGACTAACATTTTCTTTTAATAAAAAAAATTGTTTGAGCAGCACCAATTGCATATTCAGCCGTATTGACAATCGCTTATGGGAATTTACAAAAGTTCTTTCTTTATTTAATACCCATTCTGGCGTACCCATTTTAATAATTATACTTATTTATTTGTACAAATTTTATTTGAGTTTACCCACATTTTAGGAGAACAACTCCAGCTGCATGTTGATGGGGCAAACCCAAATTACTGTGGCGTCTTAGCAAATGCTGCTGCTGCGGCGGGTTATCCAAAGCGGACTTAATCATTTGAAAGGCCATTATTCAAAAGTTGCACTTAATTCCTGGCCTATTTCACAAAAACATCACTTTTTCCCGTCGATATTTAGAATAACACGTTGGTTTTGGTAATGAACTCTTTTTTTTTTTGTTTCTAGAAAACATTCCGCCCCATAAATGAGGTGAATATATAGTATTTCCAGGCGAATGAGAGCACAAAGCCCGCGTTTTTGGCACACACGAAAAAAAAAGGCATGCGGCATCCACGACAAGATCGATTCTACTGAAACCGCATCCATGAATCCATCGCCATGGCAAACTGAACGTGAATGGAACGTGGAGCCCGAAGCGCAGCGCAACCGAAGTGGGCAAAAAGCCGAAAAAAAGCGGTGGAAAAAAAAAGTACAAAATCAAACAAAACGAGACTGTAGACTCTGTATTTACTGTATATACTGTATGCTGTATGCTGGAGCCAGTGGAGCATGTGGACTCATGGATCGTATCGCTGGGGCCGAATTGAATGGGGTTCGCTCGCCGCTCGACGATTTGATGATGCTCGCTCTGCATGCAAAGCCGCTGATAAAAATGTATAGAAAACTATAGAAAAAGGGGGGCGTTGCTTGCAGTCCAGGGGAGCGATAACGTAAATGGGGAAAAAATGGAAAAAAGAGACTGGAAAAAATTTAAAATGCGTTGGCTCTACTTGGTGGCTCCATCAGTGGGCAGGCTGCGCAAGCTAAGAGGCTCCATCTCTTGTGACTTTCAATTTTGATGGCGCCCTCTTTTGATTAAGCGCAGCGCCATCTATAGACTTTCGGCCGAAGGGTGAGACACCTAGCGTTAATAGTACTGTGCATTTTCACTAGGTGGCGGGCATTTCAGAAGACAAAGGTTCTTGATTAAAATCAGCGCTACCTATAGATTTTCTTCCGAAGGCTGAGACACCTAGCGTTAATAGTTATGTGAATTCCCACTAGGTGGCGGGCAGTTCAACCGTTAGCAAATATTTAATAGCTATTGTCTTTAAGTTTCAATAAATAGAAAAATATTACTGACTTTTCAAACTGATTTCCTTGGCAAATCTGTTGTTAGAAATATCGAAGGAAGGTCACAAAACCAAGAAAATCTTTATTAGTTTATATTTTTTAGATACAATTTTAGATGCAATTTTCAAAGCAATACAGAGGTGAAAATATTGATGATAAAATGAATGCAAGAGTTATGTTTTTATAAAACAGGAAAAATTGGTTTCAAAACATTTCAAAATTAAGATTAGAATTGGTTTTCTGGTTTATAAAATAGAAGGAAAATTTAGCTTTCCTATTAGAATATTTCCGCTTCATAAATCCACTCTTTTGAACTTAAGTTTTTGGGAAATGTTGTTGCAATGGAAAAGAGGGACTAACTATGTATTTATATTAAAAATTTTGGCATTTTTTTGGGGAAAATATTTTTCCTTTGTATTACTTTTAGTTCAGAACACTTTCTGTGTTGATTTCCTATAAATTTCTAGCTTATAAATAGGGGGAGCAAAAATAAAACTCTCTTTATTCCTTATCTACATTGTTGAAAAGGAAAAATTAGTACATTAGGGGGAAATTATTAAGTTTATGGCTTCTAAATAGAAGACTTTCTTCACATTATAGCATTTAGATCGTAAGTTTAGCACAAATAGTTGGTCATTATAATAGGGGGAAAACAGTGAGCTTTTATTTTGGTTGGGAAACCGACTCACCTGTCAAACCGGTATCATTGATGCTTGACGTCGAGGTGGAGAAACCGGGCAGCTTGCGCCATCCCTTGCGACTCCAGAAGCTCCTGGCCTTCGATTCCGTGGCGGTGGCCTGCACCTGGACCTGGGCCTGCACCTGAACCGCTGGGATGCCATTGCCACCAGCCAGCCGGTGATTGGGACCCGGATCCTCGGCCGCCCGTATCCTGGCGCAGCTGAGGATCCTGCGACCGCAGGAGGCGCGCGTGAGGAAGCTGCCCCCGCCACTGCCGCCCCCTGTCCGCCGGCCATGCCCGCCTCGTCGTATACAGTGGCCGCCCGCTGGAACGAACGACAACTCTGGTTGGTGCCCACCGTGGGCGTCTGCCGGGCGCACTTGATGTGCTGCGTCTTGCTCAGCCGCAGGCTTCCAATGTAGCTGGCTCCACTGCTGCCGCTGAAGCCGCTGTCCAGGTCGCCGCAGGTGGTGGCCAGCAGCTGCTCCACTCCAGCTCCGCCCTTGATCCTCTTCCCCGAATCGCCATTATCACAGATGTTGTCCGCCGAGGCGGATGTCAGTCGGGCCAGAATCGTGGGCGGTTGTCCACTGGCTGCCGTCACACTCACACTCGGCTGCGGCGGTATGACCTCAGCTCCTCCAGCTCCTCCGGATCCCACTCCCTGTGGCTGCTCCATGGACTTCGGCGGACTCTCCGGCATCAGCATGGCCTCCACACTCAAATTCAGCTCACCCAATATCTTGTGATGCCGGTTCTGCACTCGACGCAGTTCCTCCTCCACCAGCGTTTGATTCAACGATCCCGCCGAATGGGAGCCCACTGTGCTGCGCAGATGGTGACCACTACTACTGCTCGTCTGCAGGGCAGCCGCATTGATCTCCTCGTAGAAGTTCTCGCTCTGACCGAGTCCCGCTTTGGTGGTCAGTTTGTGGTAGCGCGTTTGGTAGGATTGCAGGGTGGCCGGGCTCACCAGCTGTTTGTTCTTCTTGCCCTTGGAGAGCAGGGCTCGTATCGAGTTGGGCGGTGGCTCCACGGAGGAGGGCGACGAGGATGAGGAGGCGGTGCTGGTGGCGGTGTTGCTGACCCCCACCGAGGGTACTGCTCCTCCTCCGCCCGAGGAAGAGGAGCCCGGCACATTGGAGTGCCTCATGGCGGCGCCGGGTTCATAGTAGGCATACGAGTAGTCATGGTGCAGATGGTGGTGATGCTGCTGGTGGCCCATACTCCTGCCCAGGGTCTTGCTGTGCCGCGCCGCCAGCTGCTTGAGATGGTGTGGCGATGTCTCCAGGGCGGACGACTCATTGCAGATCTCGATGGCATCCGGATCGGGGTCGGGATACCTGGGCAATTGCTGTCGCCGGCCGGGAGTATTGCCCGGGGAAGCACCTCCGGTGGGTGGTGGATAGTCCGGCGGTGGTGGGAACTGCAGGCAGTGCTTAACCACGCCCCCATGCACCGCCTCCAACTGCTGTTGCTGCTGCTGTTCCTGTTGTTGCTGCTGTTGCTGTTGCTGCTGTTGTTGCAACTTCTGTTGCTGCTGCTTGAGTCGCTGCAATTGTGTCTGCTGCTGCGTATAGTAATTCTGATTCGAGTGCTGCTGTGGCTTTAACTTTGTGTGGACCAAAACCTTGCCGGCCACGCCCCCGACCACGCCCCCCTGGCCCGTCGTGGGGGCGGCCGTCGAGTTGCCGCCGTTGTTGCGTCTGCTGCCCAGGCCCAGGCTCTCCATGGCACATGGTGCGGCTGCTGCCCCAAAAGCTTCGATCTGCCAATTAAAAGAAAAGCGGAAAAGCAATTAGCAAAATTTATAGGGCGAGGAAAAACATATTTTAAGATAAAAACAAGAAAGGCAAGTGCTGTTAAGCCCCAAAAAAGCTATGTAGAGTTCACCAAAAAAATAAATAACCCAAAGCTTAAACTTAATAATCGTTGTCCTATTAACAGTTTTTAATATTAAATAATTTGTAGCTTAATTTCGAATTCGTCTTGTGTGATTTTTTAATATCGAATGTTTTATTTTCATCCTTTTGAATGTTTTAAGTTAAAACACATTTTAGACTCAATGGATTAGAGCTCAAGTAACAATTTTTTCGTTTCTAAGACTGTTTTTATCAGTGTACTCCAATTCGGTTTAATCTTTTAAAATCAAGTTTAAATTTAATAATATTGAACATTACCTTGCTCTGTTTATGTCAGTCAATTAACTAGTGAATTCTTGAGCTTCACTATGTTTCCTTCAAAAAAACTTAATTAAAAACTATTTTATAAGGTGGCAAATTAATGAGCACAAAATCAAGTTAAATAGAAGTACAAATTGCAGCAGCTGTCTGTGGCAGAGAGAACAAGTTCCTGGAACTTTGACCGCAGTTAATGTGCTATTTGGCATTCGCGCTTCAAGATTCCTTGCCACAATCCACATGTCGCCGTGATTAATTGCCGCTAATTCAGCAAAGTCTTTGCTTTCGATGGCCAAAGGGTTGCAGGCTCTTTTTTTGTGGACTCGCTTCAAAGGCCAAGCGGAGCGGTAATTGAAAAACCAGGCTAAACGAGAAATGAGCCTGGCCACAAATGAGTTCATCCGGGGAGTCAGGTGGAGTCGAGACCTGAGAAGTTAGACCTCGATGATGGATCCGCAGCTGTCACAGGTGAGTATGCCGCAAATAAATGGGCTAAGAGCCCCGATCCAGAGGTTAAATCAAAGACCGAGTTGGAAATAAAATGAAATCAATCATGAAGTTATGATTTGAAAGTCCAAAATATCTAAGATGATGTGGAAGTCCATTTAAAAGAAAAAAATAATTAAATCATGAATTTACTTAAAGGGTATTTTAAGCTGATTTTAACTTTAATTGAATGCGTGTTGAGAATTTTATCCTTTTTGGGAAATCAAGTTCGAGGAATGTTCATTCATTGCCAATAATTTCAACTATTTTACTCCGAACCCTTCATTTCCCCCTCCTCCACAAATGATAATGTCAGTTGTTCGGCATGATTATGATCAAGATAAAGGATAGAACTCGGGGGAATGCCAAGGAGTTGATGGTTGAGGAGATGGTCCGATAATGTGCAGGGGAACATAATAAAGTTGACGATGATAATGCCACCAAGTTATGAGTGGAGTGGATATATCCCAAGCCAAGGATTCTTCATGGTAGCAGACAGAAATTCAATTGGTAATTTGAGTAGAGGTCCATCCCGGTTCTGGTTCTTGTTTATCTTCCCTCTCTCTTTTTCTCTTGGCTTCTCTCTCTGTCCCTCTATCTCTATCTCTCTTTCTTCTCCTTTTCTCTGTAACCTGAGACAAGTCTGAGAACTGGACACGATCTCGTTGGCACAGCAGGTCCCCAAATTAGCGTCTAAATTTAGCTACTCAACAAATTGAATTGAGCCCAGCGAGGGGCAACTGAGGCTCTCTCTTTCTCCTCGCATATCCCTCTCTCTTTCTCCTCGCATATCCCTCTCTCTTTCTTTGTATATTTTTTATTCCTTTCTTGGGTTTTTTTAAAGCTCTGCGTGCACTTGAAGTCTCGCAAGGGTAAGGCAGGGTATTAGGGGGATTAAGGGCTTCCAACTTCAACGGGGGAAAACATCAAAAAACCCTAACGCATGCCATTGTCAACA